AGGGCTTTCTAGAAAATAAAAGGTCAATATGAATGAAAAAGCATACTTCTAAGGTCATCTTAAATGATGAGTTGTATATAATAGTAAGATGTCAAAAATGATCTCATGAGTTAATAGAATGGGAATTATAGAGAATGAGCCACTGTTAATATGATTATTAATGTGAGTAAAGATATTAAATATGAATTTGGTAACGACAAATTTGTGGGTTTTTTATTTATACTCAAGAAAATACATGTTGTAGAATGTTTCAAGTCTAATGATGAGGCAGAAGAAATTAAACTACTAAGATCTACATGCATTTGGAAATAAAATATACTTCTAGTAAAATAATCTAACTATATGTAATAAAAATGAGTAATAGAAAATTATGTTCAAATCCAATAATCACTACCCCATTGATATTGTCACTACACACAACTTAATGTGAAATGTCAGTTGTGTTTCATCACTATCACTAAAAAACAGTATCTATAGGTTGCAGTATCTGAAGAGCAACATTGGGCATGAAACAGAAAGTTCTAGAAGCTGTATGATACAAAGAAGCAATGCTGTTTAATTTCATAAGGCAAGATTTCAAAAACACAAAAGTCCCTTGAGATAGTTAATAATGTATGATGGGTAAAGGGGACTGGCGTTCACTGGTGCTCTAGATTCCAAAGGAATTTTCAGAGAGGATAATTTTTTATACTGGATTTTAATTCAAAATACAATGATACAGCTCTTTAACTGTGAGAACTTCAACAATAGGTAGGCTCCCAGAATGATTTGCTCCTATCACAAGTGTTCTAGCTGGACTTGAGGAAACTGAGTAGGGATGTCATTAAACATGTTCACTTTCAGAAGGAAAGTGTGACCTTTGAACCAGCTCTACATCCCACAGTCGAAGTCATAATCATTTTGACGTATTTCAATGCTACAAATCACCTAACTCTAACTTCGGACTTACATGAAATGAACCAGCAAGACAACTGACATGCTTTCTCAAATCCAACCCCTTGTATACTAGCAGACATTGTATTTCACAAGAATTTTTTTTACTATGTTCCTAGTATGAAACTTTCCACCCTACATCTTGATAATATTGTTGTTGACAACAATTTAGAAAGTGTGTAAATGCATCGTCTGTGTGTGTGTGTGTGTGTGTGTGTGTGTGTGTGTGTGTATTCTGTGAGAGAATGAAAGTTACATACCCCACTTAATACCACCTATGTATCAAACCCTCCCACAACCTCTACAATCACCGTATCTATATCATGGGTTAATTTACCAGATTTTACTTTAAAATTTTCACTTTTCATGTATGGTGAATAATTCATTCTATTTTGTTGAGCGCATATGTACATTTTATTAACATATTGCATTTTTCTAGGACAGAGCTAAGAGAGTGGATCTAACATGCTGTTACCTTGAAAATTTCTTTGGAAAATTCTTGGAAATTTCACTCTTCTTTAAGAAATTTAAAAAACGTGTTCTCTCTTTCAAACAACTCATGGCAGTTCATTTATTTTCACTGCTGCCTCCACACCCCACCCAGCTCATCTGTATTTTCTTTTGAAACAAATGTGATTCTCACCTCCTTTGGCAGTACACACGCTGTATTCCATTCCCTCACTCTTGAGTTACATCCAACCATCTTTACTTGATCCAGGGGAGAGTTGGATTTTATACCTAACTCTCAAGGACTTGCTCTATAGAACTTACTTCTATCAAGTTGTTTCAGTTTACCACATTGTTATTTCTAGGACTTATACATTGTATCACCCTGGAATGATATAATTAATCTGTATAAAAGACGAAATCTACCTTTGCTACAAATCCTACATCATTCATTGCTGTCTTTCAAACTGATTCACAAGGAAGAACTTGAGCTTCAGTCTTCCCAATAAAATAAAAGATAGTTGCAAGTGGGTTTCTTTGTTGGTTTGTTTTTGTTTTTTCAAGACAAGGTTTCTCTGTGTAGTTTTGGTGCCTGTCCTGGATCTCGCTGCTTAGGCCAGGCTGGCCTCCAACTCACAGAGATTCATCTGGCTCTGCCGCCCGAGTGCTGGTATTAAAGGCCTGTGCCACTGCTGCCCAGCCACAAGTGGATTTTTAACTAAAGATGGAGGAAAGTTCAGAAATGTCCATGCAGAAATGACTTAGCACAGAAACCATTGAGCATTTTCTTTAAAAGGAAATAAAAACAAATTAAAGGAATTTAATTTGTATGTCCTTGTTAGATAAAGTTTGTGTTTACCATGGATGAAAAAAAAAGGTAACAATATAATTCAGGTTAGAAGGTCAACCCTATTGTTGGCTGACTAAACATAAACACAGATATGCATGAGTTAATATTTTTAACTTTCTCTACATATAAGTCAATGCCTTTGAATTCCACTAATAATAACTTATTGGAAGATTGATGAAATCAAATACAGAAGAGCCTGTAGCACAGTGTCTGTTTTCTTCGCTGAGATGACAAGGTAGCTTTGACTTTTTTCTTTTTTTGTTCATTTTTTTCATATACTTCTTCTGCTCACTGCCAGTATCTCCAGAGAAACTAAAACAAAAAAGAGAAGGAAAAGTATAGGGGAATATAGAAGCAGGAAGGAAAGAACGAGAATGAGAGAGAGAAGGGGGGGCAAGATTAGGGGTTCACAAATGAAAGACAGACAAGGGGGAATTACACTTGGAGTCAACAAGCTAAATTTAATGTCCCCTACAAAAATATATGACAAATGGAGAAAATGATAGCACACATCAGGAATTAACACTTACAGTTTAAGTGTCCCATTTTGACACAACTTATAAATAACTTCTTAGGAAAAGGGATTTAAAAATAAAATTCTCAGGGCATCTGGCAATTTCAGATGTTTCCAATGAAAGTTTCTCAGAGGTTGGAAATGGCCAAGGACAGTTTGACTTTTGTGATTCTTAAAAATTATAAATGATGAAAAACCAAAGCAAATTTGTTAAAGTTGAATTATATACTTAGTGATTAATGATTGTCGTCACCCAACTGATGCAATGAATTCATTAAAATACTCCTGTTTTGTGAATAACCTTAGTGAGAGTTTCATATCCAAAAATCTCAATTATGTCCTTGTGGGAATTAGGGATCTCCCTGTGGCTGTGAGGCTATTTAGTATATTTCTACAGAATGGAGGTTCCCTGTAATGATAAGTTCTTTGCTTTTAGTCAATGTAAGATAAAAGGAATTTAAAAATACACACTTTTAATTTTAAGAACAATAGTTTACACTTTAAAAGATTAAAAATAAAACATCAAAAGAACCATACACACACACACACACACACACACACACACACACAAATCCAATTATTTTCTTGTGTCAGTCAAAACAAAAAATAAAGAAAATACACAATGTGATATTTTAAGTTGCAAAAATGTAAAATTTGTTAATATTTATAGCCAGGTAATAGGATTATATTACAATACTTAAATAATTAGAGAAGAATATATTATAATACTTAAAGAGTTAGAGAAGAATATATTGTAATATTTAAAAATTAGAAAATAATACTTAAAGAATTAGTAAAATTTTTAAATTGTCACCTTAAGTTTCACTTCTTAAAAACACTACTTCTCTGAGTTGACGTTGTTAAATGTCTACATATCTATATATATAATAAACAAATACATGAATCACATTCCTTTCAAAATAGGAGGAATAGATTATTTTGATCAAACCATATAAACATATAATATGTATTTATAGCCTTTTTTATTCTGTATATATCTGTGTTGTGATATACATATTTTACTTTCAATTAAAAAAATATTTACTTAGCTTTTTAAATAGAATTATTCATCATTCTTTATCTCATTGGAAAAAGCCCTTATAATCTATATTTTACAGTTATAATTATGTAACAATATACCTCTGTATATATATATGATGTATATATATGTATATATATATATGATGAGAGAGAAAATGATTAGATTTGTTTCCATGACTATAAAAAACTTACAGTTTCCAAAGATAATAAAAAGAGCCTCTAATTTTAAATTCTGTGTAGCTACCATTTGAAAAACATGGGGCTGGAGAGATGGCTCAGCAGTTAAGAGCACTGGCTGCTCTTGGACTTCCAGAACTTACCTACTCTGGTGATGGAATGGCCAAACACCCTAATAGTCGTGCTAGAAACCCCATCCAATGACTGAGGGATCTGGATGCAGAGATCCACGGCTAGGCCCCGGGTGGAGCTCCGGGAGTCTAATTAGCGAGAAAGAGGAGGGTTTATATGAGCAAGAATTGTTGAAGCCAAGGTTGGATAAAGCACAGGGACAAATAGCCAAACAAATGGAAACACATGAACTATGAACCAAAGGCTGAGGGGCCCCCAACTGGATCAGGCCCTCTGAATAGGTGAGACAGTTGATTGGCTTGATCTGTTTGAGAGGCATCTAGGCAGTGGGACCGGGTCCTGTGCTCAGTGCATGAGCTGGCTCTCTGAAACATGGGACTTATGCAGGGACGCTTGGTTCAGTCTGGGAGGAGGGGACTGGATCTGCCTCGACTGAGTCTACCAAGTTGATCTCAGTCCTCGGGGGAGACTTTGCCCTGAAGGAGGTGGAAATGGGGGGTGGGCTGGCGGAAAAGGGAGGGGGCAGGAGGGGGGATAACAAGGGAATCCGTGGCTGATGCTGATATGTAGAACTGAATGGTATTGTAAAATAAAATAAAAGGAAAAAAATATTTACCGAGCCATAAGACTCTGTCCACAGTCATACCTTCTTTCAATTCTATTTAATCTCTGTTCTGTTATCAATATTTCAGATGACTGTATTGCTCTACACTTTTGAAAGCATTGGCTTGAACACAATAGAAGAATATACTCTTCATCTTCCTTTTCTGACAATGATTTAAGAGACTATAATTAGTATTGTCTTTATTTTATTTCATGGAAAAAATCGTTTTTTGGAAAAGATTGTTCTGATTTTCGATCTTAAATTATAATTTTAAAATTACCCTTCTTTTCCTTCTCATGTAGTTCACACTGATGAGGGTAATTAACAATTTCTGTGACCTTTTCAGAAGGTAAGTGATTATTTAATATCTAAAGTCTTAAAAAAAATCCTGATAAAGATAATTTGTGTCATAATGTAAATAATACTTCGCTTGAAAATAGAATAACCATAGATTTGTATATAGTTTCACCTCTAAACATATTTAACTCTTTCAATGAATAGGTAAAAGTTAAAGAAATTTATTGCTCAAATATTTGTCTCTGGTAACAGTAGTAAATATTCAAAACAATCCTAGAGGTTCGTTACCAATTTTACACACGTATGTGCACAGATATGAAACATCCCTGACATATTGGTGCATAATGTAGTTGACAGTGGGTAGAGGGGATCCACTACACAAACAGAAGTCCCTGAGCATAAACATCAAGTAAAGGTTAACCTTTGACGAACGGTGGGTTTTTTGCATCTTCTACCTTAAGTTTTTTTCCAGTGGCATTTATAGCATAAACATGTCAACCAAATCCTCTGTAGTAAAAAAAAATAGTTCCAAAAGACTGCTTCCAGAGTAATATTCAGTTCCAATAGAAAATTATAAATAATATAACACTAAGAATAGCAGCAACAATGGCATGGCTAATTGTGAATTCAGAAGCACTCAATAACTTGGGCATTTAGAAATAAGCTGGAACGATTTACATCAACATCTGAACTATGATAATCACTGGTTCATGGTTAAGTGAATTTCCTTTGTTTTGATTTTTTTTCTCATAGAAAGTTAAAAATAATTTGTTAAATAAAAAATAGTTTAAAAAGAAAGCTTCATTTCATCGGAGGCTTTTGTGTGTATATTGCATTGATTGCAGGTCATTTTAACTTTTACTCAGAAATTCTGAAATAAATTTATTTGAACTTATATTTCAAGTATTGTTGAATTTAAATTTTACATTGTCACACAGTTACTCAGTTTATGCAATAAGGATTTCCACACACTTTCTCTTAATATCGCTCAGAAATAATATTTTTCAAGCTCTTTAAGTCACTTACTGTTTCCCAAACTTACAGTTTACCCCAGATTTAGCAGCTTATATCAGTGCAGGATGTCCAGATGTATGTGGCTGATCTACATCCATGGTGTTTTCCATAGGAGTATTCTTACTGGCGTCCAAAGGCAGTATCTACATCTCATCTTTCCAGCTTTTAGAGCACCCTGAGTCCATATGAACACACCATACTTGCTCTTCAAAGGCAGATTAGACAGTGGACAGTTTCATGCAAGTCTAATCCTGTTTTCCATGTTCATTAGCCCTTTCAGAGACTAGTTTTCCTGTCTCCTTGTTACATGGTAGAAATCTTTGTGGCTACACTGGATCTGTACACCTGAGTATCACTATTCCAGCTCATGCTCTACAAGAGGATCTCTTGAGCCCAGTGACTGACACCAGCCTGAGCAACACAGAGACATTGTAGTTACTTTGCTTCTTCCCTTGTTTTTGTGGCTTTTCTTTTCATTTTGTCAAAAATTTTCACAGGTTCAGAGGACTTGTAGAGGTGTTCATCTGCTGTCATAATATACATAACGATGCTATTTTATATACATATTTTATTTCAGGGAATTCTTTTGCCTTTTTCTCACACTCACTTGCCAGCAGGCCATCAGTCATTTTTAACCAGATAGTGTGTATCCTTCAAAACTACTCTATGTGTGAGTACTTGCAGAACTATAAGGATACTTAGGCCAGAGAATCATTTATGCTGTTACTGGATGTGAAATTTCCTTCAATGTAAATTCTAAATAATTAGCAATGTTCTTAAAATAGTCTTACTGTTGGTTTATATATAAACTACATTTTCAGGTAGATGGGTAATGCCAAATTGCTTGTGAAAATTATTGAAATATTTAGATGCATATCTACAGTGTCTGAGTGTAGTCTGCCCCACACATATTTTGAGATAATGTGATCTTACTATTTGTTGTATTTCTCATTCAATAGTTTAATTTGTATTTCCACCATTACAATCAAATCAAACCATCTCCTTGTACCAAGGAAAATAAATGATTGGGATTATGTCCTAAATTTAATTAACAGAAATTACATAACATTAGAAAGAACAGAAATACTTACAGTATAAGATGATGAAAAAAACAGTTGGCAAATCAATAAAATAAATATAAATCAAATGTTCACTGTTAAAATTATTTAGTTTGTCAATTTTTTTTCTATAAATGTATTTATTATATGCCAGCTAAAGTATTTCCACAAAGTTAAAACTTAATTTATAATGTTTGTGTTACAAGACTGAAAAGGACCAATTAAACCAAACTGAAATAATTAAGTCTTTCCTGTGTCCAGCCTTTTCATAGTGGGATGTGAATCTGCCTCCATAAGGTAACACACACACACACACACACACACACACACACACACACACACACACACACACAAAGTGCATTATTTTGTATTATGGCATGTTTATAAGACTCTGGATAGCAATCCAAGAAGCCTTTCTGTCTCACACTGCCAGTTCTCTGCATCGACTCTTTTCCTGTCTCCAGGTCTTAGAAGCTAACATTTGTCTTATGCCCTTACATTCACGACTTCGGTAGTATTTGAGTTCTCCTAGAGGCTTCTTACATTGCAACTAAAACTTTCATTTGCAATTTGTTTTATGCTGAAGTCCTGTTGATGTGTATGGAAAGACTGAATCCCATAGGCCCGTGATTATATATCCTTTTCTTCTGAGACTGGGATCATGGTCTTCACATTGTTTCAGGAATTATTTCCCACTGTGGCGCAGAATGCCTTATGGAAGCTGTGATTGGCTATTTCCCTTCAACGCACCTGTTAGACTCTTGAAAACCCCGTCTTAGGTTCAGATAAAGCAGTTTCCTGTGAAAGAAGAGGTATGTTCAGAGAGAAAATGTGCTGGATGTTTCAGAGTTTTTCAGAGTGTCAGCGCTAGGGCAATCTTCCTGTACCTTTGCCCTCAGAAGTTGGTGAGAGTCATACGGGTTCAAATTCAAGGTAATGTTGACTCCCCACCCCCTCCCCCAGACAAACAACAACAACAAAAACCCAGCCCTGACTCTCCAACTACTGTAGCCATGGTTTTAATTTTCATGTTTGTGCACATGCACAGGGCACTTCGACAGCTCACTGTTTGTAGCTTAGGTTTCCCTGCCTTTCCCTGAATCCAGCAGCGGGTTTGGGGCTGCGTCTCATGAAATCTGTAGTTCTCTGCATTTATCTGTATCTCCAGTTTGAAGGACAGTAGTTCACCTTTGATAGATGAGAAAAGTTGTTGACACTAAAATTTCCAGGTTTTTTTCCCTTCTCTTTGAATAGAAATGATGGGAGAGTGTACTTTCTGGTGCCCTATCTCACCTCGGTGTGAGACCATAAAAAACAGCCCTCAAAACCCAGAATGAGTCCTCAATAACAAGCTGACTATGACTGTACCCTCCCCGTGGTCTTTTAGATTCTAGAATAGTAGTAAGATTTGCTGTTTAAACTGCTCAACACTGGCTGGGACATAACCTAATAGTTTCTTTCTCCCTAGATCAACCCTACAGCATTGTTTAAAGTTCTGAAATAGGTGTGAGTATATACTGACATTACATAATAGGCACTTTCTAATTTTCAAAAAATCCAAGTACTAATTCCAAATACTAATACTAAAGCTAAAATAATATACATGGTTTAAAAAAATAGAGTTAGTTTTATCTGTTGTTCCTTCCATCAGGTATATTTAGAGTTAAGTGGGTTCCTTTTTTTCTTCTTTCAGTTTGCTTCCCTTAAAATTAGAACTGTTTCTGCTTATTAAGAATCACCTCACAGATAAAAAGAAAAATGCTCCAATTATCATTTGGGAATGAGTTTTCATACTACAGGCACATCAATTTTTCTCAAAAGGAGACATACCTATTTCAAGACTTCTTTTAAAATTACAATTTGGTTCGTATTTGTGTCAGAATTGTTTAGTCTGTCTGAATTGCCCCAAGAAAAAATATGCTAAGGAGGCTTTATAAAAAGAAAACTTCTTGTTATTCAGCTCCTATGTTCCTCTGGAGAATTTCTTTAAACACATCTATTTTAAGAACCTGTGGGGAAATTTACATTTTATCCTGAGCTGTTGTAAACAACAAATATAAAAAGGATTCAAATAGAGTTGCTGAAACAGGAGTGTGTTCAATTACTCCAGTAATTCTTTAGTGTCTATTTATATAAGTTTCAAATATTTCCCTCAGAAATATTTACAGAGAGAAGAAATGAATGTTAGAAGCAAGAATCTACTGGTACGTTAGAACATGTGCCAGCGGATAAATTGTTGCAATACAAGTTCAAATGTATCTATATATTACAGACCTACAGATAGGTTAATAACAAACAAGTAGGCAACACATAAACATCAATAATTTTTAACAAGAAAAAAGAACAAAACCAAGCCCTTAACAATATAGATACTAAGCCGGGCGGTGGTGGCGCACGCCTTTAATCCCAGCACTCGGGAGGCAGAGGCAGGTGGATCTTTGTGAGTTCGAGGCCAGCCTGGTCTCCAAAGTGAGTTCCAGGAAAGGCGCAAAGCTACACAGAGAAACCCTGTCTCGAAAAACCAAAA